ACACCCATTTTACAACCATCTGTATCGCGGAATAAAATAGTTCCACAAAATAATAGAGGTGACCTGAGCGTATGAATGCTCAACTTGCTATACGGGAGCATCTGTTGTAGTTTGTTTACAAGAAATGTATGCAGATACTTTATATGTTGAGAACTATCTTAGTAAGTCAGTCACAATGACATCGCGTCGAAGCACATGCTCCTCAGGTAAATGGCTGACTCAATAAACGTGACGGGGGAGATTTCCAGAGTTGTTGATGAAGCTGTGGCAGTTTCATGTGTTAGTCATTATTGATTACTTGGGTGATCATTAAAAGGGGATTATAAGTGTCAAATAGATACTTAAGTACATTCATAGATTGCTGTAGACGGATGGAGTCGATATTACTTTAGGCCTAGCTTGGATGTGCATTGCTTCGTTTTGTTCACTAGGATGTGTCGAAGCGAGGATGTTCGTGAACGATCATGCACTCGAATTATCTGACTTTTGTCAATGTATGCTAATTTGCTAATTTCAAGATTAAAGGGTCTAAATGATCAGAATCAACGCTTCTGGGTATATTCGTGTTTAGAGAATTCCCAGGGTTTCCCCCAGGAATGTGGAAGCCCTGTACTCGCACTGTACCCAACCTATACTCCTCCTATACTCGCCCTGTACTCACCCTGTACTCGCCCTGTACCCGTCCTATACTCGCTGTGTACTCGTCCTTTACTCGCCCTGTACCTAACCTGTACTCGCTCTGTACCCACCCTGTACTCGCCCTGTACCCACCCTGCACTCTCCCTGTACCAACCCTGTACTCGCCCTGTACCTAACCTGTACTCCTCCTATACTCGCCCTGTACTCACCCTGTACTCGCCCTGTACCCGTCCTATACTCGCTCTGTATTCGTCCTTTACTCGCCCTGTACCTAACCTGTACTCGCCCTGTACCCACCCTGTACTCGCCCTGTACCCACCCTGTACTCGCCCTGTACCCACCCTTCACTCTCCCTGTACCTAACCTGTACTCGCTCTGTACCCACCCTGCACTCTCCCTGTACCTAACCTGTACTCGCTCTGTACCCACCCTGTACTCGCCCTGTACCAACCCTGCACTCGCCCTGTACCTAACCTGTACTTGCCCTGTACCCACCCTGTACTCGCCCTGTACCTAACCTGTACTTGCCCTGTACCCACCCTGTACTCGCCCTGTACCTAACCTGTACTCGCCCTGTACCCACCCTGTACTCACCCTGTACCTAACCTGTACTCGCCTTGTACCCACCCTGTATTCGCCCTGTATCTAACCTGTACTCGCCCTGTACCCACCCTGCACTCTCCCTGTACCTAACCTGTACTCGCTCTGTAGCCACCCTGTACTCGCCCTGTACCTAACCTGTACTCGCTCTGTACCCACCCTGTACTCGCCCTGTACCCACCCTGCACTCTCCCTGTACCAACCCTGCACTCGCCCTGTACCTTACCTGTACTTGCCCTGTACCCACCCTGTACTCGCCCTGTACCAACCCTGCACTCGCCCTGTACCTAACCTGTACTTGCCCTGTACCCACCCTGTACTCGCCCTGTACCTAACCTGTACTTGCCCTGTACCCACCCTGTACTCGCCCTGTACCTAACCTGTACTCGCCCTGTACCCACCCTGTACTCGCCCTGTACCTAACCTGTACTCGCCCTGTACCGATCCTGCACTCGCCCTGTACCTAATCTGTACTTGCCCTGTACCCACCCTGTACTCGCCCTGTACCTAACCTGTACTCGCCCTGTACCCACCCTGTACACGCCCTGTACTCGTCCTTTACTCGCCCTGTACCAACCCTGTACTCGCAATATTGTCTGGCTATTTCAACAGAGAGACACAATCAGACGTATTACCTTATAAAATGGTGATCCTTAGCAAACTTTGAGTGGTATATGTCGACACCTGAGAGTGTGTATTTGAGTATCGTCATTTAACACGAGTATTGTTACCACTGAAACTGGGACGTTTTAGGTCGTTGTACCCGAAACAGATTCGAAAAAAGGCAAAATAGCCGTGAAAATTATATTACTGGATCGCTGGAATAAAGAATACCACAATCCCTTTGCATAATGGTACGGGTGCTTCTGTTGTCGTGAATTTACAGAAATCATTCACTGGTTCTCCAACTCCAACTGGGTGGGTTGACCAGCTATTCTCATCTTCATATATATACATGGGGATGCATTGACGTGCACATTTTCTGTCTGATTAAACTAAACCCTGCCTCAGCTGTATGAACCTATGCACATTTCAGTGACACAAGATCACAGCACATGATCACACGTGAGTGGGTATGGTTCTTACGGCGCCTACAGCAATGTTCAAGAAATATTGTGGCGGGGGACATCATGGTCCCATGGGGGAATCAAACATTGGCCTTCCACGTGACGAGCGAACGCTTTAACCCTTAGGTTACCTCACTGTACCTGATCACATATATTTACAATACACCTGTGAGTATTTTCGAAACACTTACAAATGATTGAATGCTCCAGCCCTTCACAACACGTTCAGGAGGTACGACAGCAAGAGATATTGTGGGAATATTGCTATAAACGACGACGGAAAACTCACTCACTCACCCAATACTTTGAGTATACCGTCACAATGCAAACATGCCATAGCAACATACAACCGCAATACAAGTCTCAAATGTATGGACTTCCGGTTGATTGAGTGAAATGTGTTGGGTTAAAAATAAGTTTTATTGTGAGGGGCGTTTTCGCAGACAGCAGTGTGTTTTACCAAATGTACTTGTTCTGGCCCAAAATATATAACTGAAAATATCTCTTCGAGTGGTTTGCGTGTCTATTATTTGTAGATTGGTTATACTGGCGGTAATTGTGCCGATTTTGTCGTGGGCATATTCACTCAACTCGGTTTGTGCGTTTCCTGGTTTGCCTGATGGAATCTGATTTGGCGCATAATACATACTGCTTATAACTGGCCTTGACGTTTCACACTCGTTGAACGTCAGCTCGCAATGACCAGCTACCAAATACTTTATTGGCAGTGCCATACTTAAACTAAACCCACAATGGTCGTAGCACGAATATAGTTTTGAGCACATGTTCCTACGATAAAAGGCATCAGGGGATAACTCCTGAATCTTTGCTCTCTGTTCCCGCAGTCCCAGCCAGTCACTGTGGTCATGGTGATCAAAGTACGTACCTATTGTGAACCTAATGTACACACAGTAAAATGTGAAATAACAAAAGCTATCAGTTGCTATAGGTTTGTTTACATGTGTATCTGAACAAGCAGCATCTTGCATGATCAATGTGTGTTCATCAGTGTTGCTCAGTGAGCTGTGGATGTAATCAGTCTTAATAAATAAACATGTTTCTCCATCCGTGTCTGAAAGACGTGATTCGCACTCTCTTCGTGTCTGTTCACAGGTCTTCATGGCTTACTAGTTATCTATAATTTTAATTATTACATGTAGTACACCTTTCATACCGTAGGCCAGTAAAAAGCTAAAACACATTCAAGCACGAAGTGGCCTTGCATATCCTTGCACTTTGCATTCGTATCGTATGTGTCCGTGATAGCTGGATGTGCACACAGCCATCAAACAATAAGCTCAACACAGTAGACTGTAGGTATGTTATTATTTAATGAGATACGGAAGACATGCATTGAAAGACAAAGCAATGATATCACACAGACATTAACTGGATGAATCACATGGGACAAATGGAGCTCGAGCCTACTTTTCTCACTTGATAGGACATTTGATGTGTCGTTAATACTTAGTCAGGGAACAGTGATCAATATGATCAAAGTGAGAACATCAACTTAAGAAGAAATGAGAACACATGGGACACGCCCCATTCAGCAAAGGGCCCTAGTATCTCAGGCCTGTCGTACGAGGTGACATGATGGATCTTTAAACAATGAAACAAAACACGAACAATATTGTAAAGTCTTTGCATAATATTTTATCATTATTTCAGTTGCATAATGTGCATATATACTATTTCATATATCTCTATTATCTTATGAGTGAGTGAGTGAGTATGGTTTTACGCCGCTTTTAGCAATATTCCAGCAATATCACGGCGGGGGACACCAGAAATGGGCTTCACACATTGTACCCATGTCGGGAATCGAACCCGGGTCTTCGGCGTGACGAGCGAACGCTTTAACCACTAGGCTACCCGACCGCCCCTATTATCTTATGTAAAAAGTATATAAAACGTAATGCGTGGGAACACCTCTCCGCCATACATGTGGATCCACCCTTTGGGAAGCCTGTCAGTTCAATGTTGTCATGGGGGAATGTCACATAGTTGTCGGTGAAGGTTGTGTCTCAAATCGTCACTTCTTCGTAGGGTGGAGGGCGACCTGGATTCATGTCGATGTTGACATGCGTCTGGGCGGAGTGTGCGTCACTCCTGATGTCCTCATAATGCTCGCTTAGTGGACGCTGGTCCCCGGGACTCTCCGTGAGTTCATCATCGGCGGGACCTCCCTCATACAGGGGGTTTTCAACTATCACATCGTCCTGATTACTGAAATCTGTCGAGGGGGATGTGAATGCATTAGCAGGATTCGCAGGGATTTCAATTTCTTCATACTGAATCGTTGATTTCTCTTTTTCTGATTTTGGAGATCTTTCTTTCCGTTTTTTCCTCTTCTTCTCCTTGGAAGACACATAACTGTCTGTTGATTTTCTCCGCTCTTTCTTAATCTTTGTTCCCTTATCATCAGACTTCACTTCCTCCAGTCTTTGGAAGGCAGCCTCAGATGTCCCAGGGACAGGAGGAACTTGATCAGAAGACGGAGACAGGGGAGGATGAGGAAGGAAAACGGGCGGACCCTGTTGAGAATTAGTTTCAGGAACAGGCTGTGAATTTGAAATGTCACCTATTTCTTGATAATCGGGTTCACTAAAATGTCTTCCACCCTTACTGACTGGTCTCTGCTTTGTCACCTGCTCCACACTACCATTGTCACAATCAAGGGCACTGTCCCTCACAGATTCGTCTCTCACGGACTTGTCTTCCACTTCTCGATTCTTCGTTGACCTGAACTTCGTTGGAATGACTTTAGCATACAGTTCCTCCAGTCGTTTGGAAGTGTACGGTACGATAGATCCTGGTGTACCGTTTGAGGAAGAACTATTATCTCTTCCGTCTAACTTTGTTACACTGACCTTGACATTGTCGACTTTGATTGATCTGTGAGCGTCCAGTTCAGCATATTCGGTACTGAGTGGTCGACGTATCTGGTCAGCGGTGGTACAATAGGGTACATCTGTCACATAGCGTGGCATTTCATGGGCTTCGTCTTCTTTACTTCCACCTGCATCACCACATTCGTTGTCAAGCTTCTCTGTAGAGCTGAGATAGGGTTTAAGTCTCTTCCTTCTGCAATACAAATACATGCATGATATACTAGCACATGTAGGCGATGTACTTTAATGCTTGATTCTAGGAACAGTTAACAAACCGAGATCAGGATAACATGGTAGTGATCTTTACTTCAAAGAATGGATTGACCTTACCTCAGCAGTATGAAGACAACGATGATGACAATGGCAGCGACGACAATGACAGCAAACACACATCCCACAGCAACAGCAACTGTATTACTGCCATCGTCTAAGAATGAAATGGAATTATTAGGAATTAGGAATATGAATGATAATGCAATGGTGTTATCTAGTGATTTCTCCCGTCATCTTCATGATGCAATGAATGGGGTGACGTGACATGAAAGACGTCTTTCCACACATCCGTGTGTACACTATCTACATATCAAGACTACAATTTCAGACACAAGATAATGCAAATCAAGAAGGTATCAAGTATAAACGGCATGGTGCACACATGATAAATGCAACTGATAAGTAGTAAACTATGCATTGGCTACAAAGGAATAGCAATAATATGCAGCAAACAAAACAAAGGGGAAATGATAACCACAAACTGTGTATACTAACCTGTACCCTGTACTCTGTCTGGCGAGCTACTAGCTACCGCTACAGTGGTGTTAGAAGTGGAGAAAGAGGAGAAAGACCCTGGGACAGAAACACAAACATTCTATGGCGAAATCGACGGAGTAGAACTAACACCCTCCTCGATTATCCAGTGTAACATATCTCCATTTTACCTCCATTCTGTGGACCCATTCGTCATTATAGTTTTGTTTTGATCGGGTTCCAGTGACACGACGCTCAAATAGCCGTGCAATCAGTTTACAGTTCTCCCCAACCAATGTCCATATCGTCAATATTTGATTGGTGTTGATGATCTAAAATACAAGTGACTAGCATACGAAATTACCTCGTTCTGCCTAAGAATTAAGGAAATATCTTTTCCACCTAAACGTTAATTAGTATCACTCGTCTGAAAATACATTATACTATTTAATGTGATATATCAATCCCTTGCTCATATGAGGCAGATATTTTGAACGTTCTTCTATGCTGAAATATGATAGATTAAAATGGTGACGTCACCTCTTAAACGAATCTATAGTGGCGACAGGTCCAGGACATCTATTATAGTGTGGAGATATGCTACACTCGGCAATCAAGGATGACCTACAGTAACTGTAGACATTGTGCAACCTTCTGAGTATTTTAGGAGTATAATGTGCAAATACATTTTAAGTCAAATTTACCAGAATCGTCATTGTGAATAAGGTTTTAGTTTTTATTGAAGTTACGTGTCCTGTTTCGAACTCTGTAATGTGGCTTTAGTCAGTGAACTATTAACCAAACAGGTGATTCAGAACTAAACAATGAAAAATACACGCGTGCGACGCAATAGACACATGACGAAACAATAGTACAATAACAATAGACTGTGTCAATGTTCATATAAATGTAATCTAATTGAACTACATACCATTCACGGTAAAATGCATTACCTGGATCCACAGAAATCGATACAAGCCCAGACGGATGTCCCCTTTCACTAACAAGGGATCGTATATTACAATACTGACCTGTACCTTCAATTGTCGTGGCTGTAGTTCCTGGGGTGATGGTGGTCGGGGGCGGACTACCATTACATGATACGTGTAATGTGGATGAACCTAAATAATACATCAGAACGAAAACGTGTTGTGGTTTGTAAATCAAACAGCATATTCTTCATAGCACATATTCACATGAGATATGTGTTTTAGATATATCTTCAGCTACTTTCATCAATGTTCCTAACAAGCCACCCGGATACATATACCTGTGCACGTATCACTCTTGTACGCGTGGAAAAAAAGGAACAAAGTCCATAATCATGTGTTCATGAATGACTATCAAATAGTGATGACACCAGGTGTTCGGACACGTTATCCTGCCCCACCGGTGACACGCATCACAAATAACAGCGACAAACCCCGTTCCATAAAGATGAGACATAAAGGGAAAGTCGACTATTGGAAAGTTGAAGTCATTCCTCTTGTCATACAGTCTTAATCTTTATGCATAGATTTACATATGAAACAGTTTCAATGTTCTCTTCTATTTCTAGTTCAGGCGGGTAAATCAGTGGAAGACAACTGGCTGCTTGATGGCTATTGAACCATAATCAATACACCTGAAGCATAAGTTTAACGTCTCGGACAACTTCCATTATTTTGTCTTTGCCATTCAGAGCAGAAATTCCGATTCATATGCATAAAGAACAGTGAGTGAGTGAGTGAGTTTGGTTTTACGCCGCTTTTAGCAATATTCCAGCAATATCACGGCGGGGGACACCAGAAATGGGCTTCACACATTGTACCCATGTCGGGATTCGAACCCGGGTCTTCGGCGTGACGAGCGAACGCTTTAACCACTAGGCTACCCGACCGCCCCCATAAAGAACAGAATACAAGAAGGGAGCACAATTGGCGCCCATGGGGATGCCTACTTCCTGCCCACATCGGTAAGCACAACATGTCAACATACATGTAACACCATCATGTTCATATGTCTTGCCTAATACCTGTCACACGACCAAGCCAATACCTATCTTGACATTTGGGAATGGCATTGAAACTGAACATTAATATCTCTAAGAGGCAATGACGTCATATTTCCTATCAATTTTGAAGTGTGTTTGTTTCTTTGCATATAGATATGTACCTCCATAAAGCTTTGAGTCATGCAAACAAAACGTACTTATTGAAGATTTAGAGTCTTACCTTCTACTTTCAACCACATAAATTCTCTTTTCTTTGCTGAAGTTGGTGTTGGGTCAAACACTATCCGCAGTCTGTTCGTGTTTCCCATGACTAAACTGTTATAGGCCAGTATTCCCGCTGTAAAAGACTCCCATGTTGTAGTGTCTCTAGTCAGAGTCAAATTGGCTCTCACACCCTCTAGCTGGTCGAAGTAGTATTCAAGGACAGTCACATTCATGTCGCCCCCTGTGACGTCACACGTGCACGTGTCAGCAGCTGAGCTGGTGCCATGTGGATAATTGGGCGACGCAAGATAGAGTCGGCTGTCATTCTCTCTGGAGAGATGTGTCACGATGTCGCAAACATCAACCGGGTCGTCTGAAAAATGGTACAATTCCCGTATAAAAACAACAGCTCCACATTTTGCAAAATTGAACAGCCTTTTTACTACTGAAAAACATCCAATCTTTATCATTCGTGTTTTCGCTAATTACAGTCACTGACAAAAATGAATGGAATAACAAGGAATCCACGCAGTTGCACCAAATACAAATATTTACTTGGTGGCCTTAATATATATCACCACATCAGGAGTTGTTCAGAGAAATGCATGAATAAATGCGACAAAATTAATTCCACGAAAATAAGAAATCTCCACTGTACGACACGAGGCACGACCATACGTTTATGGATCACGATCACACAGTGATTTTATTAGGTTTAAAGACCCTTACTCCAATGTCCCACAACGAAACCACAAAAGCCAACTGAATAAGAGAAACTGTACAGTATTCAGATTACAGGACAATACGTGAGAGATGTAATGATTGAATGTTATAACACATGGACATCCGTTTCCGTTTGAGTATGATTTCTCAACGGGGGAAGGGCGATCATCACGAGTGAGCGGGTGCTGTTTTATGCCACATTTTGCAATATTGTGCATATTATATCTTATGCCATATCACGACAGGGGGCTTTTTCCTAGTTATGTTACGTACCAGACACACATTCATAGGATATCGTAGCTTGGTAGGTTGTTGTCTCTCCACAGACGTTGTCCACCCAGAACCTCTGCACCTCCATCTCACACGTGGCCACCCCGTTACAGTCTGTGTACAGACTGTCAGCCTGAGTCTCTTGAAGGAACACACAGCTGGCACCAGGTGGAGACTCGCAACTCGGGGTCATGTTCTGGTACTGTACACTGATCACATGGAGCATCTCCCCTGTCTCACACGTCAGCGTCAGTCTTGAGGGAGTAGTGCTGGTGCAAGTCTCTACAGTATGGACGGGTTGACCTTAAAGTAGACACAGAGATTTCAATACAAACTCAAACCAAAGAGGAGAAATTATTTGTGCGAGAACTTACTTTGGCATTTATCATTTATCACCCCTCTTCCCAATACAGAGTTACCGTTTGTTGACTTATTTTAGTTTTATTTCAAATATATTTCATATTATTTGCTTGTTCGTTGATTAACGCCGCACTCAACAATATTCCAGCTATGTGACGGTGGTCTGTAAATAATCGAGTCTTGACCAGATAATCCAGTGATTAATATCATGAGCATCGATCCACGCGGCTGGAGTGCGATGACATGCACCAACCTTGAAAACGAGACTGACCACCTGATCCCGTTAGTCGCCTCTTACGACAAACATTGGTTGCTGAAGACCTATGTATGTATGTATGTATGTATGTATGTATGTATGTATGTATGTATGTATGTATGTATATGTATGTATTTATGAATGTGTGCGATGTGTGTGTGTCTGTTGTGTGTGATTTGTGTATGCATATGCAGTATGGCTGTGTTTGCGTGTGTGTGGGGAGGGGGTACATGTGTATGTATCTATGGCGGTATGTGTCTGGTGTGTGTGTGAGTTTGTTTGATGTGTGTATCTATGTATGTGTTGTGTGTGTGTTGTGTGTATATACTTATATGTACGTGTCTGTTTGTGTGTGATGTGTGTACGTATGTGCGGTGTGTGTGTCTGTGTTTGCGTGTGTGTGAGGTGTGTGGGGGGGGGGGGGGGGGGGGGGCATGTGTATGTGTCTATGGCGGTATGTGTGTGGTGTGTGAGTTTGTGTGACGTGTGTATGTATGTGCGGTTTGTGTGTGCCTATTTGTTTGTGTGTGTGTTGTGTGTATTTACTTATGTGTGCGGTGTGTGTGTGTGTATGTTGTGTGTGATTTGTGTATGCATATGCAGTATGGCTGTGTTTGCGTGTGTGTGGGGAGGGGGTACATGTGTATGTATCTATGGCGGTATGTGTCTGGTGTGTGTGTGAGTTTGTTTGATGTGTGTATCTATGTATGTGTTGTGTGTGTGTTGTGTGTATATACTTATATGTACGTGTCTGTTTGTGTGTGATGTGTGTACGTATGTGCGGTGTGTGTGTCTGTGTTTGCGTGTGTGTGAGGTGTGTGTGTGTGTGGGGGGGGGGGGGCATGTGTATGTGTCTATGGCGGTATGTGTGTGGTGTGTGAGTTTGTGTGACGTGTGTATGTATGTGCGGTTTGTGTGTGCCTATTTGTTTGTGTGTGTGTTGTGTGTATTTACTTATGTGTGCGGTGTGTGTGTGTGTGTGTATGTTGTGTGTGATTTGTGTATGCATATGCAGTATGGCTGTGTTTGCGTGTGTGTGGGGAGGGGGTACATGTGTATGTATCTATGGCGGTATGTGTCTGGTGTGTGTGTGAGTTTGTTTGATGTGTGTATCTATGTATGTGTTGTGTGTGTGTTGTGTGTATATACTTATATGTACGTGTCTGTTTGTGTGTGATGTGTGTACGTATGTGCGGTGTGTGTGTCTGTGTTTGCGTGTGTGTGTGGGGGGGATGTGTATGTATCTATGGCGGTATGTGTGTGGTGTGTGAGTTTGTGTGACGTGTGTATGTATGTGCGGTTTGTGTGTGCCTATTTTTTTTGTGTGTGTGTTGTGTGTATTTACTTATGTGTGCGGTGTGTGTGTGTATGTGATGTGTGTATGTATGTGTGCAGTGTGTGTATGTATGTGCGGTGTGTGTGTCTGTGTTTGCGTGTTTGTGTAGGGAGGGGGTGCGTGTGTGTATTTATCTATGGCGGTATGTGGGTGGTGTGTGTCTGTATTTGTGTGTGTGGATGGCTGCGTGTGTGTATGTATTCATGGCGGCATGTGTGTTGTGTGTGTGTGTGTGTGTGTGTGTGTGTGTTAAACTCACCGCCGGACACTTGTAGCAGACACACCAGGACTGCAAGGCTCCACCACGACTCCATCATGGTCCAAGCTTAAGACTGTTCCCCCGCTACTCGCAGGTCACGCAACACAGAGCCAACTCTCTGTCCACCAAGCGTCTCAGTCACTCCACCCACCGTCCATTGATGGACTGTACCCACTTGGTGTGACGGTCACTCTACTACCAAGCTCCGCCTGTAGGACTGTACCCACTTGGTGTGACGGTCACTCCACTACCAAGCTCCGCCTGTAGGACTGTACCCACTTGCTGTGATGGTCACTCCACTACCAAGCTCCGCCTGTAGGACCAGCCATTCCTACAATCTTCTTTCTGTTGTGTTTCTCACGGTACAGTAATGGCCGTGGCCTGTCAAGTTATCGCCCGTTGTGTTTCCCACTGAGCGGCTGTTTTCATGTCACGCCTCACCGCCACCGGGACATGTCAGCTGAAATCTCCTTTGTTGACGCGATACGACACTCCGTCCAGGACTCTGTCAACACCCGGGTACAGCGGGTATATCGTCTAGGAATCTGTCAACACCCAGGTACAGCGGGTATATCGTCCAGGAATCTGTCAACACCCAGGTACAGCGGGTATATCGTCCAGGAATCACATCACCTGAGCATCTAATCATGAAGCATTTCCCAGTGTTTATATCCGGGTTTCAGACATGAGCACTGCAACACAACTCCTGTTGATGTATGTCTACAGATCTCACCCCGCAGTGAGACTCGCCCCTGGGAACACACTACATCTGTTTAACCAACCTGTATGTCGGGTTTCTTCAGTTCTGACAGGAATAGCTGATGTGATCGACATGATTTGTGATCAATATGCTGTTTGTTATCATTGTAACGAAATCGTTGATAAATCTGTTGTGACGGGAGAATGCGACAAAAGAAAGTAGTATTTCGGACTGGGATTCCGAACCATGGACGTCCGTTGTGTCTCCCACACCTCCGTATAGGTCAACAACAACAACAACGTGGTCAGTGGCCTGGTTTGGGAGAATGTTGATGACTTTATATCGTACCTCATTATAACACGGCTATTAATGTTATCTAAATATTTGGTCTATGCCTACCGACCCGTCTGCGAACGATAAGTGCTTGTTTTGGTGGCCATGTGTTTGAACACAGAAGGGTTCAGAGTGATATTTGATCCGAGGTGTTATAGCGAGGTAAATGGTTCGGGTGACACTGTTATTACGATCCTGATGACAGGCGTCTCTCCGCCCGTTGTCAAGGTAAACAATGGGCCTGGGAGTTGGGCTGGATTGAAACAGGTCCGACAAGACAGAAAGCTGACCGACCGTGACTTTATTACAATGTGCTCCACTTGACGCAGGGTGCTCTTCGGGTAGAACGTACAACGGCAGAAATGAATGGGATTCCTCTTTACGAGTACCGAGTCGCGTGTGGAGGCACAATACCACTCACCGTGTATTCATCACGTATTCTGTGAGTCTGCACTGGTATGCGGGGTGGTGTTATATTTGTCACGACACGACGTTTAATACGTCACAGTCATTTATTTATTTATTTTGATGACGATGCTACTTGTACAAAATAACTTCTTCTTTTGAGCAGTCGTCGTTAGCTAAGTCCTCTCTGTGAATCAAAAGCCCCAAGACATATTCAATAAACTTTGCTCGGGCGTCCCTTACGTGCAGGATAAAATACGTCAGAGGGTTTTCATGAGATTTAAAACCCGAATCCAAGAGATAAACCCGAGGAGCGTCAGCCCGATTTTTTATCCCCATGATGAGGGTTCTAAATCTCATAAAAATGGTAAGTATTCTCACTTATAAAGCGAAAAAAGATATTTAAACATTTATCAAGAGTTTTATGTTTCAACCATACATGCAGTTTCTGTGAATCTTAGGAAACCGGCCTAAAATATTTGTTGCTTGATGACGACATCAACGTCAATGACGACATCAACGTGTGACCATGTCAGTGACAACACCTGCAGTCATGCCAGGTGACACGCAGCGTTTCAAATAACTGTTGATGTATATGCGCATGCGTGTAGTCATGACACCAGGTGTTCGCGAAAAGGGTAAGCATGTCCTTCCCTACCGGGAGCGCAACTTGTACTTCTACCATGCGATGGCGGCCTGTACGCAAACCAGACAAGCAAGTGATGGACCCGAAATCCAGTCACAGTGTGTGTGGAGTATGTGTGTGAGTGTCTGCTGATTGTGCCTCTATCTCCGACTGCTGCTGATGTTGTTCTGGAGAATGGTTGCACCGAGGATGTAACAGGTGTCCTATTTCTTTAATCAAACACACTAGCATGAGCTCGTTACCAGACCAGTGAGTATTGCTTAACGCATCAACTATTCGCGGCGATGGAAGGTAGTCGTTTGTCGTCTCCTACACTATAGGGACTCTATATATCTCAGGGCCACGTTCATCCATATAAAGTAAAATGTATTGTGTTTGTTTCTCCACAATCAGCTCACAACTCACAATCCAAGACTCAAAGTTAAATAACTCGACTTACAGCCAACTACTCTTGACTCACTGTGGAATATTCACAGTCGAGGGTTCGCTCGTGCCAGGCTGCTCTTACCTAGACTATTTGAACCCATAATCTTTTATCTTCTGATGCTGTAACGACTGCCTTTGTGTTGGACATAATTGTAACAATAACCGTAAACTGAAGCATTATTTAATAATTGTGTGTGTCTTCCTGCTGTACGATGCATCCAGTTCTGCGGCAATAACACATTCAGATCGATGAACAAAACACAGAAGAAGAAAAATATTGTATTAAAGTGTTACCCGCTGTTCAGAAAAAAAAAAAATCACAGAATCAGAGCGTAAACTGCACAGTGGCTTGCCACTATTGGCCTGTGACGGCTATGAGACTTCTTCACCTTACACATCAATTCACATAATTTATAAAAAAAATCATGTGATTCATAAAACTTCATGAAACCAAAACCCATTTATATCCGCCCCTACTCACCCCGGCCCAGCAAACACAGCTGGCTGCATGAATGTAGAACCATTCACACCATCATCCACACACGCACCTGCTCACACCAACCCATACACATGCATAGAACACATTACACAAATACAAGCTTACACCCAACCAACTACAAAACAAAACATTATCACATGATACAAACATAAAACATAACTGCACAACTCTACCTCCCATGATTAAGACACAGCAATACACACAAACAAGAAACTAAAATATATCCCATCCATACAATACAACATGACACATCAATGCTGGAACCAAACATACTTTTGTTCGTAACATGTGATTGAAAATGATAGGTAAGATCACGTATATACCACTATTTGCTAATTTTGAAATAAAAAAATAAAACGCCACATATATACATACATTTTGAGTATTGCATAATTTACAAATACGGTCAGAAACAGGTGTTTTCGGGCGTGTATAACGGCCTGTTTCTAGAACTTAAGGCAAGGTACCACGGCGAGGTTTAGATATTGTACTTCGTCGCGATCTCTCTCTAAGATATAACGTGCATAAAATGAAACGTTCAGAATACTTTTGAATAATCTGAAAGTGTTTAATTTATTACCGTTAATGTTGCCCGAGTCGTTCAAATTCCATCTTTATGGGGGGCTGGATTCAATTTCTTCCAGAAACGTACAACTTCTATTTTTTTGTTTTGTAATATATGACCCTCCACCCATTTCACCTCTTATGACCAAAGTAGGGGTAGTTCTCTCAACACCCCAACACACCCGACAGTCTCTGTTTTGGATGGCATTTATGCAACTGTTTTCTCTATTACCCCAATTTACGCATTTCATATAAAGTATTACCCCAACTTGCAGATCCATACCTTAAGGTGGTTTGTACAAGATTATCATGTAAAGTATTACCCCAAATTGCAGATCCATACGTTAATATGTTTTTTACAAGATTATCATGTAAAATATTAAAAGCAACACAGGGCATTCCGCCGACGGTTTAAAATTGACTTATTATATAACATTGAGGGCTCTTCCAGCCGACTTAGCAATTTCCCCAGCAGGGAACTGCAGATCTAGATGTTCCTGCTGCCATAGTCCTAGGTATTTATAAGCATTAAAGATTTCAATATTGTATCCCCCGTAAACAAAACTTACACTAGAGCGTTTAACCGATTGTGGTCTATGATGATTAATTTTAGATGTATTAGGATTAATCATCTTCTACATCAATTGTCCACACAATTCAACATTAACTGTTACCCGTAACATTGATAACGAAATGTAATTCGTTAATTCCTCGGAAAATAATGTCGGTGACAACACACAACCCTGCTTCATTCTACTGATCACCACACCGTGTACATGCACAACATCTACACCGTGGGTCAGGGCAAGTCTCACACCCGGGGTGGATGTCTAGCTAGAATAACTCCTCAGTATAGTGCTTGTTGTAGTTGTCTGATGATGACTTGCGTTCAATGTATGACCTTATGCTCGTTGTAGGTGTCTGAGTATAACTTGCGTTCAATTTGTGACCTGACAAAGGCCATCGTATCAGTCGGCCTGGGTAATTACTCATACGATTCTCCACTGATGTACTGGCCGCCCTGGTATAGCTGGGCAGTTGCTGGCACTCATTCGCGATTACACAGTGTCCTCAGCTCTCACTGTAGTCACAGAACTGTCACGTAAAACAACATGCACTCACTCCCGATTACACAGTGTCCTCAGATCTCACTGTAGTCACAGAACTGTCACGTAAAACAACATGCACTCACTCGCGATTACAGTGTCCTCATCTCTCACTGTAGTCACAGAACTGTCACGTAAAACAACATGCACTCACTCGCGATTACAGTGTCCTCAGCTCTCACTGTAGTCACAGAACTGTCACGTAAAACAACATGCACTCACTCCCGATTACACAGTGTCCTCATCTCTCACTGTAGTCACAGAACTGTCACGTAAAACAACATGCACTCACTCGCGATTACACAGTGTCCTCAGCTCTCACTGTAGTCACAGAACTGTCACGTAAAACAACATGCACTCACTCGCGATTACACAGTGTCCTCAGATCTCACTGTAGTCACAGAACTGTCACGTAAAACAACATGCACTCACTCGCGATTACAGTGTCCTCATCTCTCACTGTAGTCACAGAACTGTCACGTAAAACAACATGCACTCACTCGCGATTACAGTGTCCTCATCTCTCACTGTAGTCACAGAACTGTCACGTAAAACAACATGCACTCACTCGCGATTACACAGTGTCCTCAGATCTCACTGTAGTCACAGAACTGTCACGTAAAACAACATGCACTCACTCGCGATTACACAGTGTCCTCATCTCTCACTGTAGTCACAGAACTGTCACGTAAAACAACATGCACTCACTCGCGATTACAGTGTCCTCATCTCTCACTGTAGTCGCAGAACTGTCACGTAAAACAACATGCACTCACTCGCGATTACACAGTGTCCTCAGATCTCACTGTAGTCACAGAACTGTCACGTAAAACAACATGCACTCACTCGCGATTACAGTGTCCTCAGATCTCACTGTAGTCACAGAACTGTCACGTAAAACAACATGCACTCACTCGCGATTACACAGTGTCCTCATCTCTCACTGTAGTCACAGAACTGTCACGTAAAACAACATGCACTCACTCGCGATTACAGTGTCCTCATCTCTCACTGTAGTCACAGAACTGTCACGTAAAACAACATGCACTCACTCGCGATTACACAGTGTCCTCAGCTCTCACTGTAGTCACAGAACTGTCACGTAAAACAACATGCACTCACTCGCGATTACACAGTGTCCTCAGATCTCACTGTAGTCACAGAACTGTCACGTAAAACAACATGCACTCACTCGCGATTACAGTGTCCTCATCTCTCACTGTAGTCACAGAACTGTCACGTAAAACAACATGCACTCACTCCCGATTACACAGTGTCCTCAGCTCTCACTGTAGTCACAGAACTGTCACGTAAAACAACATGCACTCACTCGCGATTACACAGTGTCCTCATCTCTCACTGTAGTCACAGAACTGTCACGTAAAACAACATGCACTCACTCGCGATTACAGTGTCCTCATCTCTCACTGTAGTCACAGAACTGTCACGTAAAACAACATGCACTCACTCGCGATTACAGTGTCCTCATCTCTCACTGTAGTCACAGAACTGTCACGTAAAACAACATGCACTCACTCGCGATTACACAGTGTCCTCAGCTCTCACTGTAGTCACAGAACTGTCACGTAAAACAACATGCACTCACTCGCGATTACAGTGTCCTCATCTCTCACTGTAGTCACAGAACTGTCACGTAAAACAACATGCACTCACTCGCGATTACACAGTGTCCTCATCTCTCACTGTAGTCACAGAACTGTCACGTAAAACAACATGCACTCACTCGCGATTACACAGTGTCCTCAGCTCTCACTGTAGTCACAGAACTGTCACGTAAAACAACATGCACTCACTCCCGATTACACAGTGTCCTCATCTCTCACTGTAGTCACAGAACTGTCACGTAAAACAACATGCACTCACTCCCGATTACACAGTGTCCTCATCTCTCACTGTAGTCACAGAACTGTCACGTAAAACAACATGCACTCACTCCCGATTACACAGTGTCCTCAGATCTCACTGTAGTCACAGAACTGTCACGTAAAACAACATGCACTCACTCGCGATTACACAGTGTCCTCAGATCTCACTGTAGTCACAGAACTGTCACGTAAAACAACATGCACTCACTCGCGATTACACAGTGTCCTCAGATCTCACTGTAGTCACAGAACTGTCACGTAAAACAACATGCACTCACTCGCGATTACACAGTGTCCTCAGATCTCACTGTAGTCACAGAACTGTCACGTAAAACAACATGCACTCACTCGCGATTACAGTGTCCTCAGATCTCACTGTAGTCACAGAACTGTCACGTAAAACAACATGCACTCACTCGCGATTACACAGTGTCCTCATCTCTCACTGTAGTCACAGAACTGTCACGTAAAACAACATGCACTCACTCGCGATTACAGTGTCCTCATCTCTCACTGTAGTCACAGAACTGTCACGTAAAACAACATGCACTCACTCGCGATTACACAGTGTCCTCAGCTCTCACTGTAGTCACAGAACTGTCACGTAAAACAACATGCACTCACTCGCGATTACACAGTGTCCTCAGATCTCACTGTAGTCACAGAACTGTCACGTAAAACAACATGCACTCACTCGCGATTACAGTGTCCTCATCTCTCACTGTAGTCACAGAACTGTCACGTAAAACAACATGCACTCACTCGCGATTACACAGTGTCCTCATCTCTCACTGTAGTCACAGAACTGTCACGTAAAACAACATGCACTCACTCCCGATTACACAGTGTCCTCATCTCTCACTGTAGTCACAGAACTGTCACGTAAAACAACATGCACTCACTCCCGATTACACAGTGTCCTCAGCTCTCACTGTAGTCACAGAACTGTCACGTAAAACAACATGCACTCACTCGCGATTACACAGTGTCCTCAGATCTCACTGTAGTCACAGAACTGTCACGTAAAACAACATGCACTCACTCGCGATTACAGTGTCCTCATCTCTCACTGTAGTCACAGAACTGTCACGTAAAACAACATGCACTCACTCGCGATTACACAGTGTCCTCATCTCTCACTGTAGTCACAGAACTGTCACGTAAAACAACATGCACTCACTCGCGATTACACAGTGTCCTCAGCTCTCACTGTAGTCACAGAACTGTCACGTAAAACAACATGCACTCACTCCCGATTACACAGTGTCCTCATCTCTCACTGTAGTCACAGAACTGTCACGTAAAACAACATGCACTCACTCGCGATTACACAGTGTCCTCATCTCTCACTGTAGTCACAGAACTGTCACGTAAAACAACATGCACTCACTCGCGATTACACAGTGTCCTCAGATCTCACTGTAGTCACAGAACTGTCACGTAAAACAACATGCACTCACTCGCGATTACACAGTGTCCTCATCTCTCACTGTAGTCACAGAACTGTCACGTAAAACAACATGCACTCACTCCCGATTACACAGTGTCCTCAGCTCTCACTGTAGTCACAGAACTGTCACGTAAAACAACATGCACTCACTCGCGATTACACAGTGTCCTCATCTCTCACTGTAGTCACAGAACTGTCACGTAAAACAACATGCACTCACTCGCGATTACACAGTGTCCTCAGCTCTCACTGTAGTCACAGAACTGTCACGTAAAACAACATGCACTCACTCGCGATTACAGTGTCCTCATCTCTCACTGTAGTCACAGAACTGTCACGTAAAACAACATGCACTCACTCGCGATTACACAGTGTCCTCATCTCTCACTGTAGTCACAGAACTGTCACGTAAAACAACATGCACTCACTCGCGATTACACAGTGTCCTCAGCTCTCACTGTAGTCACAGAACTGTCACGTAAAACAACATGCACTCACTCCCGATTACACAGTGTCCTCAGATCTCACTGTAGTCACAGAACTGTCACGTAAAACAACATGCACTCACTCGCGATTACAGTGTCCTCAGCTCTCACTGTAGTCTCAGAACCGGCATCACTATACAGGTGTAGTTTCCCGTACTCGTGATCCTGGTTTGTGTAGGGACTGAGTCCGGTGTAGATGGCCGTGGGACTCACTGTGCCTCCTTCACCACTGGCGGGAACAGAGGACTCGATGTTGTCAAGTGTTTCCGTCACGTGATTATAATGTTTGTAGGTAGGCTCCTCGTTGGTCTGATCTGGTGATGCTGCAGTATTTCTTGAATGTTTGATTACTTTGCTGAAATGAAATTCAAATTCCTTGTAAGGTGCAGAGAAGAGAAAATATAGTCCCGTTTGAATTCGATTGAATTAATTAAACAAATGACTTCAGTCAGGGACTTATAACAAAGCTAGAGCGTACTGTTTTACTGTACTATAGGCCTGCTACATTGACGAGAATGGCTAAAGTACTTACATGTAGAAGATCAGTGTGACAACAATGACCAGTAGAACCACGATGACCACGCCACAAACACTGGACACAACCGCCAAAACATTGTCATCGTCACCATATTCTACATCAGAAAACAAAACCCGTCAATGCCATGCCAAGAAAATATTCATAACAAATGTGCACGAAAGTTCAGACTTAACAAAATACACCAACATATTTTCTACTTTTCGTTCATTATGTGAGTGAGTGAGTGAGTATGGTTTTACGCCGCTTTTAGCAATATTCCAGCAATATCACGGCGGGGGACACCAGAAATGGGCTTCACACATTGTACCCATGTCGGGAATCGAACCCGGGTCTTCGGCGTGACGAGCGAACGCATTAACCACTAGGCTACCCGACCGCCCCTTCGGTCATTATGTACTTATCGATGGTACTTACAACTGAGCCACAGTACCTTCCATCCAATGTACCTCAGTACCTTCCATCCAATGTACCACAGTACTTCCCATCCAATGTACCACAGTACCTTCCATCCAATACACCACAGTACCTCCCATCCATTACACCTCAGTACCTTCCATCCAATGTACCTCAGTTCCTTCCATCAAATGTACCACAGTACTTCCCATCCAATGTACCACAGTACCTTCCATCCACTATACCACAGTACCTTCCATCCACTATACCACAGTACCTTCCACCCAATTTACCACCTTCCATCCAATGTACCACAGTAGCTTCCATCCAATTTACCACCGTACCTTCCATCCAATGTACCACAGTACCTTCCATCCAATGTACCACAGTACCTTCCACCCACTATACCACAGTATCTTCTATCCAATGTACCACAGTACCTTCCATCCACTATACCACAGTACCTTCCATCCAATGTACCACAGTACCTTCCATCCAATACACCACAGTACCTTCCATCCAATATACCACAGTACCTTCCATCCAATGTACCACAGTACCTTCCATCCACTATACAACAGTACCTTCCATCCAATGTACCACCTTCCATCCAATACACCACAGTACCTTCCATCCAATGCACCACAGTACCTTCCATCCAATGTACCACAGTACCTTCCATCCAATATACCACCTTCCATCCAATGTACTACCTTCCATCCAATGTACCACCTTCCATCCAATGTACCACCTTCCATCCAATGTACCACCTTCCATCCAATATACCACAGTACCGACGAAACCAGTTACATCATGTTAAGAAACCTCTACTTAATGTAGAATCCATTATTCGTCTGTTCCGGCTATATCATAAGCGGTGAGGAGTCACTATCAAATAGTGATGATACCAGGTGTTCGCGCAACCACGGCCAGGTGTCTGTGCCTGTCGGCATGACGTACGGTGTAAGTTACTGACTGGACCATGTAGCAACTGTATGATGACGATTGATCATTAGAACGTTATTGTACCGTACACGGTGTATTGTCACCTGGCAAGGGAACCTCGTTTTCTCTACCGTGATAAAAACATCTGATTTATTATTACTGAATGATCTAGTCAGTGAAACGTCAGATAATGTGGAGTAGGGTTGCCAAGGTAACAACCCAGCTACTTCCCTCTGAGTCAGGATATAGTTACACGCTTGCCTGACAATAACAAACAGAATGATGTATCATGATCGCGGGTTTCTATACAAAACCAAACCAAAGACGTTTTAAATCAAAACGTGACAACAATAGTCAGTTATTGTACAGACATATCCCATTATAATTTTTTAATTGACGTTTACACGATATACGGCTTTTCAAATGACGTTCATAAGTTTATGAACGACACAATGTGACGTTCATACGTTTTTCACGAGACCGTGTTCTTGAAATGACGTAAACACTGACGGACTACTTCCACATTCCTGGGGAAACCCCCGGGAATTCCCTCGCACGAAAACATACAGAAGCGTTCTTTCTGATAATTTAGAACCTTTAACCTTGAACTCAGCGTTTCAGTATGCATAGAGACACGTCAGACTGCGTGATTGTTCACGAATATCATCCTAATGAACAAAACGAAGAAATGCACATCGAAAACAATCATTGTATCAACTCGATCCGTGTCTAGGCTAACAGCGACCGTCTCGAGCAATCTATGAATTTACCTTGGTGTATGTTTGACGCATCTTTAATAACCTTTCAATGATCGGCCAGTTGGCCAATGATGACTTACACATGTAACCGCCACATGTTCATTAACAACTTCCGAAATCTCTCCCGTCATGTTTATCGTGTCGGCCATTTTGACGTCTTACTTGATGTAAATGTATAACGACGCGCTGTTATTGTGACTGAGTGATAAGAGGTAGTTCTTAACAGACCTTTCTCATCAAATGAGGATATTGTTTGAGTACATTTGTTCTAAAGAAACTACAAAAGCTGTCCCTGTTGAGCATGTTGAGCATACATAAGTTCATGTCACCTCTCGATTTGAGGAACAACTGGTTGTTGTATGGCTGTCAGTGTAAACATGAAGTCAACGTACTAAAAAGAATTGTGTATAGATCAAGGTCTACGTCATTTGAGGTAAAACTGGTTACATAACAAAATATAAGAATTGACTTTCACTTTGTGGCAAGCTCCGACGTTCATACAGTTTGGCCCTCACTCTATGGAGGTTCATACTCCAATGAACTCACACAAGTGAAAGTCAATTCTTAAATGACGTCTAACACAAGTGATAACCAGTAAACTGTGCATTGGTTAGGTAGGAATGAAATAAAGTGCAGCAAACTAACAAAAGGGAAATGGTAAGTCCAAGCTGGTTGTGCCCATAATCTGCCTAGCGAGTTACTAAGCAAGGGTACAGTTGTGTTAGATATACTCACCTGCTTGTCCCTTTCCGCTATCTGGCGAGTTACTAGAGATGGTACAGTAGTGTTAGATATACTCACCTGGTTGTCCCTCTCCGCTAGCTACAGCTACAGTAGTGTTAGATATACTCACCTGGTTGTCCCTGTCCGCTAGCTACAGCTACAGTGGTGTTAGATATACTCACCTGGTTGTCCCTGTCCGCTAGCCACAGCTACAGTAGTGTTAGATATACTCACCTGGTTGTCCCTGTCCGCTAGCTACAGCTACAGTGGTGTTAGATATACTCACCTGGTTGTCCCTGTCCGCTAGCCACAGCTACAGTAGTGTTAGATATACTCACCTGGTTGTCCCTGTCCGCTAGCCACAGCTACACTAGTGTTAGATATACTCACCTGGTTGTCCCTGTCCGCTAGCTACAGCTACAGTGGTGTTAGATATACTCACCTGGTTGTCCCTGTCCGCTAGCCACAGCTACAGTAGTGTTAGATATACTCACCTGGTTGTCCCTGTCCGCTAGCCACAGCTACACTAGTGTTAGATATACTCACCTGGTTGTCCCTCTCCGCTATCTGTCGAGCTTCTAGCCACAGCTACACTAGTGTTAGATATACTCACCTGGTTGTCCATGTCCGCTAGCCACAGCTACACTAGTGTTAGATATACTCACCTGGTTGTCCCTCTCCGCTATCTGTCGAGCTTCTAGCCACAGCTACAGTAGTGTTAGATATACTCACCTGGTTGTCCCTCTCCGCTAGCTACAGCTACAGTAGTGTTAGATATACTCACCTGGTTGTCCCTGTCCGCTAGCTACAGCTACAGTGGTGTTAGATATACTCACCTGGTTGTCCCTGTCCGCTAGCCACAGCTACAGTAGTGTTAGATATACTCACCTGGTTGTCCCTGTCCGCTAGCCACAGCTACACTAGTGTTAGATATACTCACCTGGTTGTCCCTGTCCGCTAGCCACAGCTACAGTAGTGTTAGATATACTCACCTGGTTGTCCCTGTCCGCTAGCCACAGCTACACTAGTGTTAGATATACTCACCTGGTTGTCCCTCTCCGCTATCTGTCGAGCTTCTAGCCACAGCTACACTAGTGTTAGATATACTCACCTGGTTGTCCATGTCCGCTAGCCACAGCTACACTAGTGTTAGATATACTCACCTGGTTGTCCCTCTCCGCTATCTGTCGAGCTTCTAGCCACAGCTACAGTAGTGTTAGATATACTCACCTGGTTGTCCCTCTCCGCTATCTGTCGAGCTTCTAGCCACAGCTACAGTAGTGTTAGATATACTCACCTGGTTGTCCCTCTCCGCTATCTGTCGAGCTTCTAGCCACAGCTACAGTAGTGTTAGATATACTCACCTGGTTGTCCCTCTCCGCTATCTGTCGAGCTTCTAGCCACAGCTACACTAGTGTTAGATATACTCACCTGGTTGTCCCTCTCCGCTATCTGTCGAGCTTCTAGCCACAGCTACAGTAGTGTTAGATATACTCACCTGGTTGTCCCTCTCCGCTATCTGTCGAGCTTCTAGCCACAGCTACACTAGTGTTAGATATACTCACCTGGTTGTCCCTCTCCGCTATCTGTCGAGCTTCTAGCCACAGCTACACTAGTGTTAGATATACTCACCTGGTTGTCCCTCTCCGCTATCTGTCGAGCTTCTAGCCACAGCTACAGTAGTGTTAGATATACTCACCTGGTTGTCCCTGTCCGCGAGCTACAGCTACAGTAGTGTTAGATATACTCACCTGGTTGTCCCTGTCTGCTAGTCACAGCTACAGTAGTGTTAGATATACTCACTTGGTTGTCCCTGTCCGCTAGTCACAGCTACAGTAGTGTTAGATATACTCACCTGGTTGTCCCTGTCCGCTAGCTACATCTACAGTAGTGTCAGATGTACTCACCTTGTTGTCCCTCTCCGCTAGCCACAGCTACAGTAGTGTTAGATGTACTCACTTTGTTGTCCCTCTCCGCTAGCAACAGCTACAGTAGTGTTAGATATACTCACCTGGTTGTCCCTCTCCGCTAGCCACAGCTACAGTAGTGTTAGATATACTCACCTGGTTGTCCCTGTCCGCTAGCCACAGCTACAGTGGTGTTAGATGTACTCACCTAGGTGTCCCTGTCCGCTAGCCACAGCTACAGTAGTGTTAGATATACTCACCTGGTTGTCCCTGTCCGCTAGCCACAGCTACACTAGTGTTAGATATACTCACCTGCTTGTCCCTCTCCGCTAGCTACAGCTACAGTAGTGTTAGATGTACTCCCCTGGTTGTCCCTGTCTGCTAGTCACAGCTACAGTGGTGTTAGATATACTCACCTGGTTGTCCCTGTCCGCTAGCCACAGCTACAGTAGTGTTAGATATACTCACCTAGTTGTCCCTGTCCGCTAGCCACAGCTACAGTAGTGTTAGATATACTCACCTGGTTGTCCCTGTCCGCTAGCCACAGCTACACTAGTGTTAGATATACTCACCTGGTTGTCCCTGTCTGCTAGCTGCAGCTACAGTTGTGTTAGATATACTCACCTGGTTGTCCCTGTCCGCTAGCTACAGCTACAGTAGTGTTAGATATACTCACCTGGTTGTCCCTGTCCGCTAGTCACAGCTACAGTAGTGTTAGATATACTCACCTGGTTGTCCCTGTCCGCTAGCTACATCTACAGTAGTGTCAGATGTACTCACCTTGTTGTCCCTCTCCGCTAGCCACAGCTACAGTAGTGTTAGATGTACTCACCTTGTTGTCCCTCTCCGCTAGCTACAGCTACAGTAGTGTTAGATATACTCACCTGGTTGTCCCTCTCCGCTAGCCACAGCTACAGTAGTGTTAGATATACTCACCTGGTTGTCCCTCTCCGCTAGCCACAGCTACAGTAGTGTTAGATGTTCTCACCTGGTTGTCCCTCTCCGCTAGCTACAGCTACAGTAGTGTCAGATATACTCACCTGGTTGTCCCTGTCCGCTAGCCACGGCTACAGTAGTGTTAGATATACTCACCTGGTTGTCCCTCTCCGCTAGCCACAGCTACAGTAGTGTTAGATATACTCACCTGGCTGTCCCTGTCTGCTAGTCACAGCTACATTAGTGTTAGATATACTCACCTGGCTGTCCCTCTCCGCTAGCCACGGCTACAGTAGTGTTAGATATACTCACCTGGTTGTCCCTGTCCGCTACCCACAGCTACAGTAGTGTTAGATATACTCACTTGGTTGTCCCTCTCCGCTAGCCACAGCTACAGTAGTGTCAGATATACTCACCTGGCTGTCCCTGTCTGCTAGTCACAGCTACACTAGTGTTAGATATACTCTCCTGGTTGTCCCTGTCCGCTAGCTACAGCTACAGTAGTGTTAGATATACTCACCTGGTTGTCCCTCTCCGCTAGCCACAGCTACAGTAGTGTTAGATGTTCTCACCTGGTTGTCCCTCTCCGCTAGCTACAGCTACAGTAGTGTTAGATATACTCACCTGGTTGTCCCTGTCCGCTAGCCACGGCTACAGTAGTGTTAGATATACTCACCTGGTTGTCCCTCTCCGCTAGCCACAGCTACAGTAGTGTTAGATATACTCACCTGGCTGTCCCTGTCTGCTAGTCACAGCTACATTAGTGTTAGATATACTCACCTGGGGTCCCTCTCCGCTAGCCACGGCTACAGTAGTGTTAGATATACTCACCTGGTTGTCCCTGTCCGCTACCCACAGCTACAGTAGTGTTAGATATACTCACTTGGTTGTCCCTCTCCGCTAGCCACAGCTACAGTAGTGTCAGATATACTCACCTGGCTGTCCCTGTCTGCTAGTCACAGCTACAGTAGTGTTAGATATACTCTCCTGGTTGTCCCTGTCCGCTTGCTACATCTACAGTAGTGTTAGATATACTCACCTGGTTGTCCCTCTCCGCTACCCACAGCTACAGTAGTGTTAGATATACTCACCTGGTTGTCCCTCTCCGCTAGCCACGGCTACAGTAGTGTCAGATGTACTCACCTGGTTGTCCCTCTCCGCTAGTCACAGCTACAGTAGTGTTAGATATACTCACCTGGCTGTCCCTGTCTGCTAGTCACAGCTACAGTAGTGTTAGATATACTCACCTGGTTGTCCCTCTCCGCTAGCCACAGCTACAGTAGTGTTAGATATACTCACCTGGTTGTCCCTCTCCGCTAGCCACGGCTACAGTAGTGTTAGATATACTCACCTGGTTGTCCCTGTCCGCTAGCCACAGCTACAGTAGTGTTAGATATACTCACCTGGTTGTCCCTGTCCGCTATCTGTCGAGCTTCTAGCCACAGCTACAGTAGTGTGAGAAGTTGAGAGGGAGGGGAAAGAACCAGGGACAGAAGCTGAAACAAAAGCGACTGAGTAGAACTATCGCCATTCCTATTTATACCTGTTTTATACCTACAAGAAGTAAAACAAAGACAGTTCAGAAAGCTTCCTGTCGAACTCTTGTGACCCAGAACTGAATACTAGCAAACAAAATAAAAGGGGAACTTATTGACAACGAAACAATAGTTGAAAAGATGCACTGTGTCAATGTTGGCATAGACGTAATCCAACATATTTTGCATACCATTCCCATTAAAGGTGTTAAATGAATCTACAGAAATCTACATCAAACAGGTGCTACAAATGAACAATCGAACGTTACTAAACATACCTACCTGTATCTGGAGTTGTGGTCGGGAGTGGACTGCCATTACATGTTACTTGTATTGGGGATGAACCTAAATAATAAGGCGAATGTTTTATGAATAAATCAGAGAGAGAAAAACTTGTGATTTATATGTCAAACAATATATACTTTATGCAAACATTCACATTGGATTTCAGTGTAATACACTGCAAGTGATTCCATGGCAGTTAATTGACTAACCAAGTATTTTCATTAAGTTGCACCAATAATTGCCTATAAATCCTTATTTTGCGTTTATGTTCTCATACATGCAATGAAAGAATAGCTGTCTACCTGTTCCTGTTTGGCTGATAATATGATGGGCTGAATTCGACGACAATACGTTTTTCATGAGACCATGTTCTTGAAATGACATAATCACTGACGGACAACTTTAATTTTCCCGGGGGAAGACCTGGGAATTCCCTAGCACGAATACATACAGAAGCGTTGTTTCTGAACATTTAGACCCATTAACCTTGAAATCAGCTTTTCAGTATACATTAAGAAACGTCAGAGAGCGTGACTGTATGATCGTTCACGAATATCCTCGCTACGACCCATTCTTGAGAACAAATCGAAGAAATGCACATCCAAACTATCGTAGTGTCAACTCGATCCGTGTCTTGGCTCACAGCGACAGCCTACAGCAATCTATGAATTTACCTCAGTGTCTATTTAATACATCTTTTATCACCTTTCAATGATAGGCCAATTGATCAATGATCTCCGCAAGTCCTGACGTTCATACAGTGTGGCCCTCACTCTATGAAAGGTCATATTCCAACGAATTGACACAAAGTGAAAGTCAATTCTTAATTAAATATACAGTTTGTGAAGTTATTTTTGTTGACTTGTATATTAAATAGAATTGACTCAACTCTGCCTACGCTTCATGAGTGAGTGAGTGAGTATGGTTTTACGCCGCTTTTAGCAATATTACAGCAATATCACGCCGGGGGACACCAGAAATGGGCTTCACACATTGCACCCATATCGGGAATCGAACCCGGGTCTTCTTCGTGACGAGCGAACGCTTTAACCACTAGGCTACCCGACCGCCCCCTGCGCTTCATGAAGATATAAAGGTAAGACGGCATGCATTCATTTGGTGAGGCAGGTAACAATACCAAGCTGATTAACACTGTGTGCACAGCGGGTTTTATGTTTTTACCTCAATAAACGCAACAAATATTCAAGTCAATTCTTAAAGAGGGCAGTCATGCAAAACTAACCCACCGTGTTCCATCAATCAGTAAGTACAGAAATATAAGCGACCGATCTCTTTCAATTATCATTCGAAATCTCGGCTGTTAACTTCCTATTAATTGGGAAATGTATTGTTTCTTTGCATAACCTTTTCCGTGTACACTGTCGTGTGTCGATCCTAAGTGTCAAACATCTTTATAATATATATATACTACCATGTATACATACATGACAGACAGACAGACAGACAGACAGACAGACAGACAGACAGACAGACAGACAAACAGACAGACAGACAGACAGACAGACAGACTGACAGACAGACAAACAGACAGACAGACAAACAGACAAACAGACAGACAGACAGCCAAACAGACAGACAGACAGACAGACAGACAGACAGACTGACAGACAGACAAACAGACAGACAGACAAACAGACAAACAGACAGACAGACAGACAAACAGACAGACAGACAGACAGACAGACAGACAGACAAACAGACAGACAGACAGACAGACATACAGACAGACAGACAAACAGACAGACAGACAGACAGACAGACAGACAGACTGACAGACAGACAGACAGACAGACAGACAGACAAACAGACAGACAGACAGACAGACAGACAAACAGACAGACAGACAAACAGACAAACAGACAGACAGACAGACAGACAAACAGACAAACAGACAGACAGACAGACAAACAGACAGACAGACAGACAGACAAACAGACAGACAGACAGACAGACAGACAGACAGACAGACAGACAGACAGACAGACTGACAGACAGACAAAAGACAGACAGACAGACAGACAGACAGACAGACAGACAGACAGACAGACAGACAGACAGACAAACAGACAGACTGAGTGCCTTAAATACCGATATGTATCTCCAGAAAGCTTTGAGCCGTATGTTAAACAAAACTCCCTACAGGGATATACGTATTGACGATTTTGAGTCTTACCTTCTACTTTCAACCACATAGATTCTTTTTTCTTTCCTGAAGCTGGTATTGGGTCAAACACTATCCGCAGTCTGTCCGTGTTTCCCATGACTAAACTGTTATAGGCCAGTATTCCCGCTGTAAAAGACTCCCATGTTGTAGTGTCTCCAGTCAGAGTCAAATTGGCGCTTACACCCTGTACTGGGCGGAAGTAGTATTCAAGGACAGTCACATTCATGTCGCCCCCTGTGACGTCACACGTGCACGTGTCAGCAGCTGAGCTGGTGCCATGTGGATAATTGGGCAACGCAAGATAGAGTCGGCTGTCATCAGTTGAGGAGAGTTGTGTCACGTTGTCGCACACATCAACCGGGTCGTCTGAAAACACATTCACTTAGACAATCCTTCTGACAGAAAAAAAGGATGTGCAAATTTAATTAAATTTAAACTGACATATCAACCCCGCTTGATGCATTCCTGTGTACATCCTTTGGTATTTCATGGGTGTAAAATCATAGATATTAAGACAGGCCTTTCTTCAGGACATTGTCAGATGAGTTCACGATGTTCATCATCAGTATCTGCTGAAGCTTACATAGGCCGTTTGAGCATCACATGTTAGTGCAGCAATATGTGTACCATTTTGGATGGATCCAGTTTCATGATGATATATTGTACATTCCTGTCTACATACCAGACACACATTCATAGGATATCGTAGCTTGATAGGTTGTTGTCTCTCCACAGACGTTGTCCACCCAGAACTTCTGCACCTCCATCTGACACGTGGCCACCCCGTTACAGTCTGTGTACAGACTGTCAGCCTGAGTCTCTTGAAGGAACACACAGCTGGCACCAGGTGGAGACTCGCAACTCGGGGTCATGTTCTGGTACTGTACACTGATCACATGGAGCATCTCCCCTGTCTCACACGTCAGATTCAGTCTTGTGGAAGGAGAGCTGGTGCAAGACTCTACAGTATGGACTGGTTGACCTTAAAGTAGATTCTGTTCCTTTGATTTCATATATATATATTTAACATTAGTTAAAACGCTCATACAATGACGATACAAGATACAATGTTGCATGTGTAAATATATTTTATGTATGTGTGTGCGTATGTGTAAATGTGTGCGTGTGTGTGTATGTATGTATGTATGTATGTGTGTGTGTGTGTGTGTGTGTGTGTGTGTGTGTGTGTGTGTGTGTGTGTGTGTGTGTGTGTGTGTGAATGCATGCATGTATGTATATATGTGCGTGTGTTCAAAGTTAATTCGAAGAAGGTATTACAAAAACGGACAGCAGAAAAGGGATAGTGTGTAATTCGCGAATGCAACATAACATTTGTCTAACAGAAATAATAAATGACACGATCCAGTACACCGCCTACATTAGCAAGAACACGTTAAGACTATCACCAAGACCACAGGAAAGCCACAATCAACAACCAAACCCGACCCACGAGGCAAAGCTTTCATTGAAGTAAATACGAAGTCGAAATGCATGGCAACCCCCTCTGTACCATGCTCGTATTAAAGCCCCTATATACCAGCACGATCTATGCATATTTGGAACTGTATGCACAGGGTTGGGCTAGGACCAAGTAGTCGTAATTTTAATATGCAATTTTAGTATATGCTGAAGCACTTGAGAAGAAAAAAACAATATTCTATTTTATAAATTCATATGCAGCTCATTGTCAATATCGCTGAATAAACGTGTGCCAGATCACGTGGTTCAGGATGACGGACGAATTTGGGATGAGGCTTCACAGTAGAACTGTTTCCAGTCCAATGACATAATAAAAATTGCAAATCACAAGTTAGAAACCAAATTCTTTCAAAAACCGTTCTGAAGGGCATCGAAGAGCAACGCCTTTACCTTAAACCCCATCAGGTATTTGGCAAAGTGAAAAATTAGTAAACATTATTTCAATCGGGACATAAACTTGATATTAAATTGAAGCGACTGTAAATATTCTATAATAGTGTTCCAAAAGTCGTACACACACCACACTCGCTGACCCTTGTTTGAAGACACACGAAACGCACCCAGTTGCGCAGGGAGGACACGTCGAACTCACCCAGTAATATAGGGAGTACCCATACAACTCACGGAGTGACACAGGAAGGACATATGAAACTCACCCAGTAATATAGGGAGCACACGTCGAACTCACCCAGTAATATAGGGAGTACCCATACAACTCACGGAGTGACACAGGAAGGACATATGAAACTCACCCAATGACACAGGGACGACACATGCCACGACTGCAAGACATATCCAGGTTGACATGGCCGCTGTCACCGACTGTTTCCAAGTCTCACGAAGCAGCAATGTTTGAAATATAACTCACAAGTGTTGATATTTGACAGACACGGAGGGCTCGGGAGTGGGAAGAACTAACCCGCTGTCACACGCTGTGTGTATTCGTCCTACCCCTGGCTGTCAGCGGCCGGGCCTTCATTCACAGATAATCACAACACACACAACACTTTACCTGGCGAGTCATGACTGACTACTGAGTATTGGTTGGTACAGTGCTGATTGTCACTGGTGTCTGGACTGGCCTTCAGCAGATTTCTCATTCCTGACCAAAGGCGAACAAGTGAACACACTGCACAGTGAGTGTACACACATGCGCCTATCGCGTTACTGACATGCATCACTGCATGTGACTCTGTTGAACAACTACCTGGTTTGCCTTCTGTCCTTAGCCTTGATATGTTATCCTTGTTTACACAGCGCTGTGGTAGATGTAAGTTAGGCGGGACTGTATAACTAAAGCGACAAACACATTTCCATACCGATCATTTGCTTTACCGGATAAAACTGCTTGACGGGGCCAGCTATCCTGAGGGAAACTTCGGAGGGAACCAGCTGCTAAGTGGTTCGATAATCGCCCCTATAGCCAAGTTCGACTATCGAATCAAACAGAGTTCAGTTGCAAAAGTTTGACTATATCATAAGCATATGTTTAGGAATCACTATCATCTAATTAAGACACCAATAGTATACGAAATGGTATTCTGGCCCATCGATGCACAAACACAGGCAACGGCAAATCAAGTGATCACCTGACTAAAGCACAGGGACATGTCAAAATTTCGATTTAGAAGTTATATAGTCATAAGTCAATGATCATGATCAGAAGTGATCTAGGTATGGTTTTGCTTCGCATGGTTGTTGATATCTTAAACTCAGTTTATTGATTAGAGTTAGACAGTTGCTTGGCAGCCATTGTCTTTTGCTTTCATTTACATCAGTTAAGGCGGCTTGAAGGAACTGTCATCCCAGATTCAGTTTGGGAGACATTGATGCAGAAGCTCAACGACTACTAGATCTATTTTCTTCAGCTAATGCCAGGAAAGCATCTGATCGAGCAATTGGTTCCTTTCATGGATTCACATCTGAAAATAACTTGCTGCAACAGTGGTCCCCTGTCCCCGTGTATGGCTGATTGTACGGATCCTGACTAAAGCTGCTTTAATAGTGCTACCCATGGCCACTTTACTATCCACTACACACAACTTGGAACTTACATGTATGGAGGGTCCTACCAGCCATTTTATGACCAGGCAGCTGTTTCGTGCATGCGAAATTCAATAGATACAGTACCTTTGATGTGAGGGCACCACTTCGCTATTCAGCCGCTAATCGTGGCCCTGTAATCAGTGTTCACCGCAGGCTTTGAAGCCAAACTATTTGCGAGTGTTAAAAGACCTTTTGCCTTCCTTTGGGTTGGAGAACTACATGATGCAAATTCAAGCTACATATCACATTCAATTAGGTCCTGTAAGAATGCGAGAATGTCTATGTTAAGCAGATGTTTAGAACACCCCTGATATATAACAAAGTATAGCAGTTACCTTGCTAAAGCAGCGTTGGAAACCTCATGAAGTCTACAACAGAGTTCATGTTAGCTCTATCATTTCCGCGGAAAAGGACCCGTAGCTGGCTTCACTGTCAAGGGGAGACAAATCTGTTTACACCCTAGAGGCATTCTTAAGCCACAACTTCGCATTATAAATGACGGAAGTTGTTATCCTATGTCATTCTATGATAATTCCTCCTAAAATCCATTTTCCATCACGATAATAGTATTCCTGTTGGATGTGGTACATACTTCCCATTGGCACTTCTAATGTCATGTGAAGATGTATCAGATACTGATGACAGAGGGATCTTTACTGCACACAGCAACAAATAGAAGAAAGGTAATTAAAAATAATATGTAGGCAAGTATGTATATATATATATATATATATATATATATATATATATATATATATATATATATATATATAAGCAAAAATCATGAGGAAAAGGTTTCATTTACAATTGTTTTTACCACAGTTTCTCTATTATTAGCGTCGAGTGACATCTTGTAAAGTTAATGACAACTTCAGGCTTCCCTTATCGTCGAAGGTCAACACCCACCAATAAAAGTGTGTGAGCATGAGAATGTTCTCCGAATAAGGATGTATAAATGAGATAGGAGTATCTTTGAGCGTTTGGTTCTGAGAATACAATATGTTTCTGATCACAACCGAGTCCCCGATGTCACGTGCTTCATGACTGTCACAATATTGAGTTTGGGAGCTTGGTTTCTTCTGAAATGTTCTTGCCAGATAAATCACAAAAAGACAATAACATCTGAATGTGTGTGTTTATTCTTGTTTCAGAGGAATGTGTTTTGAAAATAAAAGCGACAAAAAACATTTCCATCATCGTGAGAAATATCTGCTTAAATTAGAGTCCATTGTACCGCTGTTCCGACTAATCATGAGCATGTCGTTATAATAGTGATTCTGTTAGGTGTTTCCGAAATGGTAAGCACATCCTGCCCCACCGGTTGCTTCCATCACAAACACATGCAAAGGCAAGTCACCGGAACAAACACGGGAACGTATGGTCAAAACAGGGAAGTGCATAGAGCATCAGCTTGGTCATCGACGCGTCAGACTAGGAAATGTCCTCCTCCATAGAACTTGTAAAAAACGTTTCTAAGGCCTTAAATGGAGTATCAATGCTCAAGCAACTTTCGAGAAAGATATTACGTTTTTGAAATTTTCGTAGACAGAGCATGCTCGATTGTATCTCAAAAGCTGTGATTGGGGACGCCAGCTTGAGCTGCTCGACATGAGGGGAAAGTTGACTGTTGGAAAGTTGTCATACAGCCTTGTGGAGAGTGTTTTGTCACTCTGAATCTGCAGCAATTCAATCAATCAAATCAACGATCCTGACCACCCGATTCTTTCAGTCTTGATTGCCCTGATCGTGGATATGGTTTATCTGTCAACACCCCGGCTTAACTACATACATTATACACAATTCTACAATATATAATACATGACATGCTTGCCAGCCTAAACGCTACCACAAACACTGGTGTGGTGCTGACAAACCTCGAAACAACTTGGATTCGAACTCACCTCAGGGACTCAACTCTGGGCAGCCTTACAGCATTGTTGTACACCACAACGTAAACGCTTCATTACATACAATACATTGCCGGGACATACCAACTTGCTGAAGGTCACAATAACATTACCATTCAACACAACACATAAGTATGGGCAAATCACTTCTCAAAATTGTGTTGTAGCAACCATATAACAGCGGGCATATTATTTCCATATTTCAAGGTTCATCATTGTCTCTGTTGACACGGCGTATAGGTACTGTTGATCTGTTCTTAGTAACTATTGTCTTGACCACGTGACTGCGTGCAGTAAGTCCCGTGTACCGTGGTATTTGACAACATAATATATATATAGCATATAGGCAGGAACACAGACAGACACGTTTGTCTCAGGCAGCGTGCAGTGATCAATGCTAATCTACGTCATTCATGTGTGTGTCACACGAGTAACTTCCCCTTGTTCGTGGTTGTTGTGAAGTCTGTTTATCCTGGTTTTGTTGTTGAGTGAGTGAGTGAGTGAGTGAGTGAGTGAGTGAGTGAGTGAGTGAGTGGTTTTACGCCGCTTTTATAAATATCCCAGTAATATCACGGCGGGGGACACCAGAGATGGGCTTCACACATTACGGCATTGGTGCTTACTGACACCTGTCAGTTCAGTGAAGCCGCTACGTGTTTATATTGACCTTGGCATGTCCGTGGACATCCTGTATGCTGGTGTAGTGGACATGGTCCGAGCAGGCAACGAGGCTTTGTTCAGTGCAGAAGACAGTGCTATATGTCGTGTCCATTAAACCGCTGTAAGGCCTCGCAGACTCGGTGTGATCACCTGACTGCCCCACGTGACCTAGTTGTGAGTACGTGGGCTCCTCTCTCTGATCAGGTACCACTGCGGTATTCCTGGATGGTTTAATTGCCTTGCTGAAATAAAACATATAACTGTTAAAGGAGAAAACTCTTACAGTAGCACGTTATGACTACAACTACAACAATATGAGGGGAGGTGAAATTGGGTTTAACGTCGCGTCCAAGATTATTGCACTTATATAGCGACGTGCATGTACGTGTGTGTGTTTGTGTGGCTGCTTGTACTAGTCCGGACTGATGCCGATTTATAGTGCTAGCTCACTGAGTTACCATGCCGCAGTTTAACATGAATACCCCACTCAGACACAGTATACTGACTCCGAGCCGACCAGTCCTTCTTTTAGCCCCTTAATGCCGAACGCCAGACAGGGTAACAACAAGTACCATCTTAAAACGTCTTTTGGTATGACGCGGTCGGGATCGAACCCCGGACCTTCCGCTCTCCGGGCGGACGCTACAACAATATGAAATGGTATGATGTTGAGAGATGCGGTGTCTTTTCGAGGCGTTCCTGGCCTTTCTACCTATCTGCATGAACCAATAATATGTCAATAGTCATCAGCAAGAGGAAAGTGACAACAAACATCAGTACGAGCTGAATAGTGACAGGATACATCAACAGCAAGTGATTAGTGGCAAGAAAAGTCAACAGCAAGTGACTAGTGGCAAGAAAAGTCGACAGCAAGTGATTAGTGGCAAGAAAAGTCAACAGCAAGTGACTAGTGGCAAGAAAAGTCAACAGCAAGTGACTAGTGACAAGATACATCAACAGCAAGTGACTAATGACAAGAAACATCAACAGCAAGTGACTAATGACAAGAAACATCAACGGCAAGTGACTAACGACAAGAAACATCAATACCAAGTGACTAGTGACAATAAACATCAACAGTAAATGACTAGTGACAAGAAACTTCAACAGCAAGTGACTAATGACAGGAAACATCAACATCTTGTGAGTAATGACAGTAACTTCAACATCTGGTGAATAGTGACAGTAACTTAAACATCTTGTAAATTGTGACAGTAACATCAACACCTGGTAAAAAGTGACAGTAACATCAACATCAGATGAATAGTGACAGTAATTTAAACACCTTGTAAATAGTGACAGTAACTTTAACATCTTGTAAATAGTGACAGTAACTTAAACATCTTGTAAATAGTGACAGTAACTTCAACATCTTGTAAATTGTGACAGTAACATCAACACCTGGTAAATAGTGACAGTAACATCAACATCAGATGAATAGTGACAGTAATTTAAACATCTTGTTAATAGTGACAGTAACTTAAACATCTTGTAAATAGTGACAGTAACTTAAACATCTTGTAAATAGTGACAGTAACTTCAACATATTATAAATAGTGACAGTTACTTCAACACCTGGTGACAGTAACATCAACATCTTGTAAATAGTGACAGTAACTTCAACATATTGTAAATAGTGACAGTAACTTCAACATCTGGTGAATAGTGACTGTATAGTATGACCAGAAATAATTGAGAATTTTAGGGATATGTTTAAGTGGATATCTAGTATAAAAAAACACTGACCAGCTATCAAGTGCTTGGTTTCATTCAAGAGAGACAACCCAGTTAATCCTATTTCATTAGTTTGTCATGATCAAGAGCTATCCCCCTTTGTTTACTTGCTAGCAGACGTCATTTTCAGTGATCCTCAGTATGGATGATTTAGAGAAGAGGAGGTTGATTTTAGAGTATTAAAACAAGGACATCAGATCAGCTAAAGTGATTTCAAGTAGAACAGGCATCCCTTTGTCCACTGTTTATCGTGTTTTGAAAAATATTGAAAAAGGGGATGGCATTGAGCACAAGAGAGGCGCAGGTAGGCCCAGAAAATTGACAGTCGGTGACAGGAGGCGGCTTGGTATTCTTGTTTCTAAAAACAAACGAAGGAGTTAAGAAAACTTAAGACTGGATATGATTGATAGAGGAACTGTGGCTGTCTGTAAGGAGACAATTAGAACTGAGCTGCATGCAGTAGGTTGGGAGAAAAGTCGGGGAATTCCATCACCGATCATGAAACCTGAACAAAAGGAGAGAAGGTTGAACTGGTGCTTAGAGCATAGAAATTTTAACAGGGACAATGTGATTTTCTCAGATGAAAGTTCTGTGTGGCTGTTTCCTAATACACTAAAATTCTGGACCAAACAAACTGAAAAAACTTTGTATCAGCACCCAAAGTACAGTCCAAAATTCCACGTGCGGGGTGGCATATCTGTGTTAGGGGCAACGCCCATGTGTGTATTTGAAGGAAATATGAACATTGAGCGGTACACAGATATTCTCGAAGGACATTTACTTCCATCTGCTCAAGTATTCTATGGAAATTCTTGGATTCTCCAGCAAGACAACGACCCAAAACATCGTTCAAAGCATTCTCAGGCCTGGTTTCGGACCCACAATATGACACTACTAGACTGGCCAAGCAATAGCCCTGTCCTAAATCCAATAGAAAATGTTTGGGGGCTTATGAAGGAAAGTGTCAATAAAAAAATCTGACAAATATTGCTGAAATGGAAGAAGAGGTGGTCCGAAAGTGAGACAGCATGAACCACGACTTTCTAACTTCTTTGATCAGCAGTATGCCCCGCCGCCTTGAAGTCTGCATTGCTGCCCATGGTGACTTGACAAAATACTAAGTGTTCACCTGTCTTTGAAGCTGGAGTTATGTTGTACTAATATTCACATTAAATTTTAATACGTGAGTAATGAGTGAAAAAAAAATTACAATCTTTAAATTCTCAATAATTTCTGGTGATTCTGTAACATCAACATATGTGAATAGTGACAGTAACTTCAGCACAAGGGGGATAGTGGTAATTGACATCAATCCAGGAGAATGGAGACAGTCAACACTGAAGGAGTATCACAAGCTTTAATGGTATTTGTACTGACATGCGGTAAGATTCATTGATGGTATATTCACCCCTCGCGAGTACGGGTTGACTACAAAGTATTTATCGTATAATTATCATTTACCACAATTTGAAAACCAAATGAGATTTAAATGTGAAGAGTTTGTTTCTTGTCATACTGCCAGACGACATATGTTCATGTTTATGCTCTGTGCATAAGGTACATGTGCATCAACGCTCAATGTTTATGTACATCACGCGACCTCTTTTCGCTGTAAGGAACACGAACGGCAGAGATTACAAAGTCTGTCAGGGATCTGCAAGAACTTTGTTGCCATGACAGCAGGGCAAATTGTTTTCAGTTGTACACAGCTGTAGTGGAGGATATGACAATTTATCAAAACGGCAATGACCAATAAACTTCAGACATTTCACATGTAGTAATGTAGATTGCTGACAACAGCAACTTGTCATCTGATGTACAATTCTCTTCAAACATAATTCTTTCTGTACTGTTAACCCAGAGAAATATTTCTTTAATCGGATCAGTTACATTGTTCGTGTCCGGGATACTGACAGTTGTTTGAGGACAAGAAGGCCTGACTGACGGACGTGTGCCACTCTGGCAGAGAACTTACAGTTGTTTGTGGACACGAAGGCCTGACTGACGGACGTGTGCCACTCTGGCAGAGAACTGACAGTTGTTTGTGGCCTGACTGACGGACGTGTGCCACTCCGGCAGAGAACTGACAGTTGTTTGTGGACAAAAAGGCCTGACTGACGGACGTGTGCCACTCTGGCAGAGAACTGACAGTTGTTTGTGGACACGAAGGCCTGACTGACGGACGTGTGCCACTCTGGCAGAGAACTGACAGTTGTTTGTGGCCTGACTGACGGACGTGTGCCACTCCGGCAGAGAACTGACAGTTGTTTGTGGACAAGAAGGCCTGACAGACGGACGTGTGCCACTCTGGCAGAGAACTGACAGTTGTTTGTGGCCTGACTGACGGAGGTGTGCCACTCCGGAAGAGAACTGAAAGTTGATCCATCCAGAATCTGTCCCGGTGCTTCGGGTATTATTGCGGATGTTTTACTATCAGGGATACTATCCAACATCCTTGTCCGGGTTTGCATATACTAAGATAAGACAAGCATTGTTACAGATCATATATTCGGGAGACAACTATAAAACGTCCAAGACACATCCTGACATATTACATAAGTAATACGTAATTACGTAAGTTCAAAGGGATTAGTCACGTGACACCTATTATACGGGCATTTCAGCTTGGGTCTATATATGAATTCTAGCTGCTTATGTTGCTTTACCACTGTGCCAAGTCACATGCTGGTGTCACAGTTTGCACAATTATTGCTCAAATATCCCTCAGTTAAGGACAGTTAACGGGAATGGTAACTGTTACTTACAAGTAGACGATGATAGCTACAATAGCGACCAGTAGGATTATGATGGCCACTCCACACACACTGGACACAAGGGTCAAAGTTCGCTCACTGTCCCTGCACTCTGCAAGACATGACACACGGGATGGTATTGACGCCGACATAAGCCGTACACATGTTGAAAATTGTATTTGATTTACAATTTCTAAAAGAAGGGACGCATTTATGAAATATTATCTCACACACATACCTGTCACTTCTTGAAGTGGTCTTCTTGACGTAGCTGATGTAGTCGCTGGTGAGTCTGATGAAACAGAACAATAACCTGCCTTGTCACGACACATGATTGAGGCGTTTTGGGCCTTCATACTTCATATTATGTATTTACCAACAAGCGATCACACATTATGTATGTGATAATATTGTAACCACTGTGTACATTGGCTGATGGCCTACATAACAGAATTAAACTTCTTGTAATTATGTATTTACAACCAAACTATCACACCTTCTCAACTTGACCATGAATCACGACATTGCAATGAAAACGTCGTGTCCGCTATTCCAGGAAAGTCCCAGGAGTTTGGTGTTTGGAAGTAGGCAGAGTAACCATTCATGTATTGCTGAAGAATCCCATCCATCGGTTGGGTGTCGCGACTGACTACATAATTACCAGACATTATAACAATGTCGTAAGTCGTATCAATGGAAGAAGGTATGATGAGGTACACACCCTGTGTAAGTCTGGTGGAGGACAACACTGGAGATGGGCCATCATTGCACGTCAATGTCAGGGTGGTCGAGCCTGGGGAAGTGAACATATAGACAATGCTTCAGATGCTGCTACATTTGATGATGCACGTCATACACGGGAACACCTTATGAGTTTGCACATAAGCTTCTCATATCAAGAAGACCGCATCTACATTCAATATGTATATATATTATTCAGGAACAGACACAATTGCAGGATGTGTGTCGCTAAACCATCAGAATAACTACGGTTAATGACAGTCTGGTTAGCGTTACATGAATATGAAGTTTAGATTCGCGATGAACGCTTGAAAATTAGATGTCATGGATTAACATATGAGCAGTTTTGCACTACTATACATTAACGTTTTTAGGGTGAACGACAGTGACAGTAATCTTCCTGGTCTGATTACAGTGTCAGAAAGTAATATGCTAATTTGACTTAATGCACAAATGTTACTTTTGTATCATCGTGAAATTCCGGGTCACAATTAGCTTCAGCAACTCATGCATAAAAGGCGACTGAAGCGATCGTGTTGTCAGGCATGCTAACCTTTATGCATGTCATTGTATCCAAATTGCGTCGATCGATGGTAGTGATATCAATGACTGGATTGTCTAGTCACTGTTCCATTTTAATAGACCGCCGCCATGTAACTGGGATATTGCAGTGTGCGACGTTAAATAATAACAAAAACTCCTGCAGTATGTTAAGGCACGTTGATTAAGATGTTGATGTGATATAATTTGGTAATGTTTGCAATATGCAGATAGTAAGGATAGGATTTATGGATGAACAACTTCTTTATTACATTTAGGAGCGAGGTTTCGGTGTAAACTCTAACACCGTTATTCAGCAAGTGATCTGCAGTGTATGGTTGACAAGTATATGTACAGGACAGGAGGCTTACTTAGTACTCCAACTTCTAAAAGCCTCTCAAAGAAAATATTCAGATACCAACCAACCAAATATGTACAAATTTATCAACTTGTTGAACATGGTTGATTATGATAAGTTACTTAAGCTCTGTATTTTCCTTGATAAAGTCTTTAAAATAAGAAATAATATGAATGTATTGTGAAAGAAAATAGAATCATGTTAGGGACGCCGTATCATAATATTGTTC